ACCGGCGATGTGCGTAGTGTTAACCCCCGTTGATGGGCTTCAGCATGGGCTGGGCCAGCCTGCCGGGGAGCGCAGACCATCCCACAGTCCCACTTGGATTCGCCGGGTTGTCCTTACCGGCAAAGCAGCTGCCTTGTTAGTGCAGCTGGGGCCTGGGACGAACACAGCCGGCAGGGCTTTGCCACTGCAGCCTGGGAGCAGGACTAAAGCATGGCACAAATGCCTCCGGTACCTGCAGGGGCAAGCTTGGTGTCTGGGATAACCCCACTGCTGTGGAGGGACTTGCCGCTCTTGGAGCAATACAATGCCTGCTGCATTATGTGCATTTGCAGTACCCCCCCGGCGTGGCGGTGCCCGTCTAACAGAGCAGAAGATGGCTTGGCTTTTTCCCTTTGCCTCTCCTGCCCGAGCTCATCAACTCAGGTGGCATTCTCCCAGCTTCTCGTATTAGCTCCGGCAACCACGAAGGGGACTGATGTGTGGCTGATGCTGGTGGAGGTAGTGGGTACCCCATGTCCCTCCTCCGTCCTTGCTGCACAGGCCAGGGTTAGGACGGGTCAGAGAGGCAGTGGGTTGATGGGTGAAGCTATTGCCGTTTCTACCCGGTTGCTTTCCGCTCCAGGCTTTGCCTTCAGTGCCCTCCTGGAGCTGATGTACTGCCACTGCCTTGACAATTCAGAGTCCCAGCAAAACTGGACGACCTCCGGAGGTCATGTCCAGCCCAGGCCCTGGCTTGGGGCAGGCTCAGCCCCGACTCAGCCACCCCAGGCCGGCGTTTGTCAAACCCGTTCCTGCAAACAGTCCCCGTATGCCCAGTACCTCTAGACATCCTGGACTCCCTTACCTTGTCCCAGGTTAGGCAGGGAGAAGTAGGCCCTGCCAACATCCAGCCACTGCGGGGACAGGGAGGACTCTGCCCAAGGCAAGGGACTGGACCCCCCTGTTGTGGAGGAAGATGACATCCCCACACCCCTGCTCCTCTACGTGTGGGGGTCAAAATCCTTCCTGACCCCCAGCAAGTGATCGCTTTAGTCCGGCTGGGGGCTGTGGGGCTCGGCCCCAGAGGAGGGAGAGCTCGGGAGGTGGTGGCACTGGCTGGACCAAGACCTTAGGCCCCTGGGCAGCTTCTTGCTTCGGCCTCGCTCAAACCCTGCTATTCGGGACCCAAAGCGAAGCAAGGGCCCTGCTGCACGTTCAGCTGAAACCAGCTCCCAAGTCATTACACATTGTCAAGCAGTAACTTGGTAGCTACCTGGTTCTTTGCATAGCTCAGCTGTCATTTTTATGGTGCAATGATTACTTTGCCGGGCTCCATTTATTGCACAGATCACCTGTAGATTGCATGATGCATGCAATGCATATTAGAGGCCTGAGTGTCGTTGTGCTGGGTGGAGCTGCCATTGCACCGCTAGGCAAACTGGAGCAGATCCAGGCTGCCCCTTCCTCTGCTGGTGTTTGTTGGATTGTGGGCAGGGGATCACCTGGCAACTGGGCTGGTGAAGGAAGTCCAAAGCCCTGGGACAGGTGGCGGTGCGCAGGGGACAGCGTCAAGGATGTCTGGGCTCGAACGTGTGATGCATGCGAGGCCCTGCGGGCACTTGCTGACATCAGCCACTGGTTCCTGCCATGAGTGTTTACTGCTCTGGGGCTCTTGGCCCCACCGTGCGCAGCGGAGGGAAGGCAACAGCCGCGGTGCTGACGCCTTCCAGCGCAGGGAGGAAGCTTTGGCCGCAGAAGGGGATTTCCAGAACGTTGTGACCTGATGCCTATGCAAATCAGACCCTCTAATTAACCTGGTGGGTGCCAAGGCAGGGCAGGGGGTTCGTCGGGTGGGGAGAGCAGCCTAGAGGTGATGGGGGAAGCGCAAAAGAGACAAGAGGCAGTGGGGTGAGAGAGGGGCACCGGCTGCTCCAGGGCTTTTGCAAGGTAGGCTCCGTCCCGCTGCATTTGGGGGCTGGCCCCCACCCCCCAACGTACGCAGCAGAGATCAAACTGAGCCACGTCCCCGAGCCCACCGTGGGGGCCAAGCTCCAGCGCGGACCCCCTAAGGTCCTTGCCAAGCCCTGGCTCCCTCCAAGCTTGTCCCAGGCTTCGCTTTGCCTCGTAGCAATGCGGACCCCTATTCTGCGCGGCTCCCGCAGGGGCTTCAGCCCCCCTGGACTCAGAGCTGCTCGCCGTCGAGCTGCCACTGCCGAGCCTGCTGGCAGGTGCCAGCGGTTGGACAGCTGGCTCCAGAGGCGAGCAGGCTTGCGGGACATATTGGGGGGGCACTTGGCCCCGTGCCCCTTGCAGGAGGCGCAGTGAGAGGTATTGCAGCATGGCTGGCTCATGTCTGTCCATAAGGGATGGGACAGGCCAGGGGCTCCGAGGCTGGCAGGGGGGCTGGTGGCACAGGGCGCTCTCTGCTTGCAGATGCTCAGGCTTGTTTCCTCCTCCTCTGCCTGGGTGTAAACAAAGCAAACCGCTTCCCCCCCCCCCCCCCCTCCCCACCCCCGGGAGGGCGGGGA